AGACCTGATATTATTATAAAAGTCAAGAAATCCAGGAAGTGTATACTTATTGACGTAGCAGTATCATCTGGGAGAAACACCTCCATCAAATTTATTGAGAAATTGTCCAAATACAAGGACCTGGGGATCGAGATTAACAGGATGTGGGCAATGAAGACTAAGACTGGACCTCGTGAGAAAAGGAATGGAGAATTTTACTGACAGCGTCCCTGACAATATCAACATACAAGTTGCCCAGAAGATCACCCTACTAGGAAGATCCCACAAATGAAGAAAAGTGTTATAAATTAAATGACAATTCTCCCATAGGTTGTAAGGACCATAGTTTGTTCTGTCTCTACAGGATACAAAGCAGGAAACAACATACAAATAATAATAATAATAATAATAATAATAATAATAAACACCACCCAGACACGGTTACGAAGATAGGACCTGTTACAATGTTATGGGACTACACAATACACACTGACAGAACAATCAAAGCTAACCATCCAGTTATTGTTATTTAGGACCACAAACAAAGAAGTGCCTCCTTATTGATATGGCAGTCCCTGCAGACTGCAATGTATCTTTGAAGATATTCAAAAAGCTGTCAAAATACAAGGACCTTGAAATAGAAATCTCAAAAATGTGGCACATGGGAACATCAACAATCCCTGTAGAATTTGTTGGAAAATATTCCTGTAGACTAATTGAAGGGATTCCATATCTTAAAGAAATACAAATAAATTGTTCTGACGAGTACAGCCCACACCTTACGAAGGGCTTTGTCTATGTAATTTTTTTTTTTTTAGTGGGAAATGTCATGATGCCATTTATAAACTTAAGTCCCTGAGCGGGACCCGGAAAGAAATGAGTACACATCACAAACGAAAGGAAATAAAATTGCAATAATAATAATAATAATTATAATAATAATAATAATAATAATTATTATTATTATTATTATTGTCATCATACTGTGGTACAGTCTCAGTCTTGAGACGTCCACATTTTAATAATTTCTCATTCGAACTTCTTGGTTTTATAATTGGAACTGCAACATCTATCAGAAGACAGGTGTTTTCAACATGATTTTCAAGTTATCTCTGGTCGATTTGCCTGAATTTTGTTATCAGTCTGAACGCTAAAATGCCAGAGGATGGTGATATCATCATTCTCTACAACTTGTGGTGGATTATGTTCCCACCAATTGTCTTTGAAAAGGGGTCTGAACGCGCGATATTATTGACCAATGTCTGTACTGTGCAGCTGTATCATGATGGAAATTATCTGCTATCACCAGTCGGACACAGCTAAGGTATTATGTGGTCAGTTGACTCCGGATGTTCTTCACAGACGCGAAAGAATGGGTGGCTGTTAAGTTTCATGACATGACATGGGTAATTTATGGCTAGAAGTCGCTGATTATGAGCAGATATTATGAATCATTCAGTTTATGGCTTGAAATCAAGAGTCTGGTCCCGTCACTGATGGGTAAATATTTGAACGACTTCAGCATCGATGGCTTCGGTAGGATACACTTATTTCTCCTTCGTGTTGCGAAGGCTGATTTGTTTTACTACGTTTTTTATTTGTTTCCTTTCTTCAATTGGGGATGCATTTCATTCAGATTCTGCTTCATTTACCTGAATTTCCAGAAGATATATTATGGAAACTTTTTTTCACAGAGTAACTTTTTAGTACTCTCGTGCAATCTCGTGTTTTACCATGCAGTCGCTTGTTTCCTGCATGATTATTATTATTATTATTATTGGTAGTAGTAGTATTTAATTTTCATTAATGGATCATTTGATAAACAAATGTAAGTATTCTGTCGGGAAAGATGCATTAAATATGAAACAAAAACAAAAAACAACTATTAAAGGTAGGTGTAGTATTTTGTCTTTTTGCAAGAAAATTGTTTTTATTTAATTTTTCATTCAGACTAGCATCCCTGTCATTGTTATTTTTATCATATCTTATCGCGTTTTACTGCCTTCCACAGGCGTATGTTGTATATTTGAGAAATAAGCAACGTTATTATTTTTCATTAAAAAAAAAGCACTTTTTTATTACATGTGCAGAAAGAAATGTTTGTCATAGAAAATTGCTTTCTTTGGAGTAGGGGGGGGTGAAAAATAAAAAATAAATACAAAAATAAAGATTACTTATATTGTATATATTATTCTGTTATCCTCATTTTCATTGCCACATTCACAACGCTTCGGCCATCTTCAAGTAATTGGAATTTCGATACGAACCCTTTAGTTCCACGTTCAATGTCTCTTCTGAATTTCTCAATTATTTCCAATGGGCCATGTGGATAAAGGCGTTGCTTTGAGCCAGTGACTAGACCCAAAGGGATGTGAGTCCAAAACCAGCTACAACAGTGCAAAACCAAAAACTTGCAATAGTCATAGCACCTGAAACTAGAACAATCTACTTCGGTGGACGAAATAAAAGGTTCGGTATCTGTCTATATTTCTGAGATGAGATATAATGTACACTATTTACATTATTCGGACTATTGTCCTCATTTTTGTTGCCATATTTATTACAACGTTTCGGCCTTTCAGTATCTGTCTATATTTCTGAGATGAGGTATTATGTACACTATTTACATTATTCGGACTATTGTCCTCATCTTTGTTGCCATATTTATTACAAAGTTTCGGCCTTTCAGTATCTGTCTATGTTTCTGAGATGAGGTATTATGTACACTATTTACATTATTCGGACTATTGTCCTCTTTTTTGTTGCCATATTTATTACAACGTTTCGGCCTTTTTAGTATCTGTCTATGTTTCTGAGATGAGATATTATGTACACTATTTACATTATTCGGACTATTGTCCTCATCTTTGTTGCCATATTTATTACAAAATTTCTGCCTTTCAGTATCTGTGTATATTTCTGAGATGAGGTATTATGTACACTATTTACATTATTCGGACTATCGTCCTCAAGGACACATGGCACAGTGGATAAAGGCGTTTGTTAGATCCAGTGACAGGACCCAAAGCATGTGAGTTCAATACCCGGTTCAATACCCGGTGGAGTACTTTCAGAGGGAAACTAACAGGAGATAACTGATATCCATTAAACATGGCGCGTGGAACTAGAACAGTCTACCTCAATGAGCGAAATGAAATGTTCAGTTTCACATTCCAACCACCTGAAGAAGGCCGGATCGTACAACGGTCGAAACGTTGTAATAAATATGGCGACAAATTTGAGGACAATAGTCCGAATAATGTAAATAGTGTATAAATGGTTCGGTTCGAAATTCCAATCATTTGAACAAGGCCGGAGCGTACAAGGGATGAAACGTTGTTTAATCTGGAAATGAAGATGAGGATGTAGTTCGAATAATGTAAGTAAATATAAACCTCATCTCAAAGATATAGATAAAAATGAAGAGATATATAAAAGGTCTAACTTAAAAAATTATCGGATGCCAGAGAATAGACCGGCCGAAATCTGGTAAGGAAAATAAGAAATATAACGTTAACTGTTCAATATTTTGTTGTTTCTCAGTCATTTTAGATAAATAGAAAAGAAATTGTTATACTTTCATTAGATTTATCAACTGCTACTAAAAAAAAAAAAACTGCTATAAAATCTGTTATCTGTCCTCCTATACAGCAGGGGATGCTGGACTATTCCAGATGAAGAAGAGACTCGAAGCAACAGAGATGTGGCTCTACAGAAAGATGCTGAGAATACCATACATTGCTTCCTTGATTGATTTGTTTTCTGCGGCGTATAAACCCTTTTTAGGTTATTTAAAGCTAGAAAATATTTTTTTCAGATTAGAAGAAATTTAAGGGGGGGCGATAATAGATTAAGCCGGGGAAAAGAGGTGGATTCATACCTAATCAGAATTCACAAACAAGAAATTTCTCATCTTGATATAATGTGGGGGATCAATTCTATATCACAGTCAATATATAAACTGATCCCTCACTTTTCTGCCACGCTATTTTCTATATATTTATAGTACAGAGAATGGAAATAAATCTAAAAGACATGCCTGTGTAGCTAATCAGTATCTCATTGGCTGATCCTTTTTTTACGGTTTATCTACCTTTTACTGGTCATTTAAAACCAGAAAATATTTTTACATTTGAATCTTTTTCTTGGAGATAATAATGGTTTTAGTGATACAAGTTTTACTAATTAACGCAAAACTGGAGGGGAAGTGATAGATTCATCCATTTCGTCAGGATATTTGTGTGTGTAAGTGAATATAATGAACCAAACACTAATTGAAACTCGAGCCATTATCCATTACACCACCCACTCATCAGTACTTACAGCACCTGATGTTCCGAAGCAGTCACCCATCTAGGTACTGATAAGGCTCGACATTGCTTAACTTCAGTGATCGTACAGGAAACGGTGTTATGACCTGATGTGGCCGTAAGGCTTACAGAACACGTGAGCAAAGATGAAGCTTTAAAGAACTTACAGCACCTGATGTTCCGAAGTAGTCACCCATCTAGTTATTGACAAGGCTCGACATTGCTTAACTTCAGTGATCGTACAGGAAACGGTGTTATGACCTGATGTGGCCGTAAGGCTTACAGAACACGTGAGCAAAGATGAAGCTTTAAAGAACTTACAGCACCTGATGTTCCGAAGTAGTCACCCATCTAGTTATTGACAAGGCTCGACATTGCTTAACTTCAGTGATCGACATTGACCTGATGTTACAGAAACGTGAGCAAAGATGAAGTTTTTTCTGATGTGATCTAGTTACTGACAAGGCTCAACATTACAGTGATCGGAAACGGTGTTATGACCTGATGTGGCCGTAAAGGCTTACAGAACACGTGAGCAAAGATGAAGTTTTAAAGAACTTACAGCACCTGATGTTCCGAAGTAGTCACCCATCTAGTTATTGACAAGGCTCGACATTGCTTAACTTCAGTGATCGTACAGGAAACGGTGTTATGACCTGATGTGGCCGTAAGGCTTACAGAACACGTGAGCAAAGATGAAGTTTTAAAGAACTTGCAGCACCTGATGTACCGAAGCAGTCACCCATCTAGTTACTGACAAGGCTCAACATTGCTTAACTTCAGTGATCGTACAGGAAACGGTGTTATGACCTGATGTGGCCGTAAGGCTTACAGAACACGTGGGCAAAGATGAAGCTTTAAAGAACTTATACTTGAGAAAGAACTGAAGATACATTTCTACAAGGAAAGTGGTGATGGAAAAATGAACACTGACATAATATATTGAGAAAGGATTGGCAGAGGGAAGCAGCGTGCTCATGCCTAATGAGGTCTTGGATGAATAAATGATAAAGACAAAACACAAGGGAATGGTAAATAGTGTTTAGAGCTACAAGTGAAAGGAAAATTATTGAGTTTCATGATTTCGCACGTCCTAAACGAATACGATACACAAAAACAAAGTCCAATATATTATCTGCCCGGGTTACAATTTATAAAAGTCTTATGTGTATAGATATAACCAAAAGGGGGTTGAATGCTCGAATTTGAATGTTTACAAAATATAATCGCATACAAAATCAATGAGATTGATGCATCTATATACAAAGATAAATCTCTTCGGACTCTTCCCCATTTTTGTTGTTTTTACGAAAACGTTTCGATCGTTATGTTCTCCGGTCCTCTTCAGGTGTATATCAATTTCGGTAACCTATAAGGTTTTCACTGAGTGGAAACGGGCGAGCAATAACTGAACATTACTAAAAAAAAAAAAAACTAGACGTTATCCCTAGACATTAGCAGTGAATCGAGAACGGTATACGCCCGTAGATTAAATAAAGGGTTCAGTTAAGAATTCTCTGTAAGTTATCCGTTATTTAATCTAGACTTAATCTGTTCCACTGCTCATGTCTAGTGTTATCGTATAGCACTTAAAGAATTGTTGTCATTTCTCTTTCTTTCTTTAGACAAATGACAGCAAATCTTCAAGCGGTGCAGCAGCAGAAACAATGAAAACCTGACAGCTAGCAGCCTATACAGCAGTTACAGCCTAATCAATAGTTAAGGTTAAGTTTAAAACGCTTAAGTCTATTCCAACAATGGCCTAGTGGGCAAAAACGTTGGTTTATTAATTTGGGGACAAGAAATAACGGAACAGTACTAAATATAAATAAGCACTACAGGTTAAATAAAGGAACTCCAGATCGATATACTTCTGAAGAAGGCCGGATTGTACAATGGCCGAAACTTTGTGATAACAACAACAAAGATGAGGACAATAGTCCGAATATAAATAATGTAAATACTTGTAGATTAAGGGTTCAGTTCTCAATTCCCTGTAGATTACCCAGATCGATATACATTTGAGGAAGGCCGGAGAGCACAACAGCCGAAATGCTGTGATAACGACAACAAAGAGAGGTACAATAGTCAGAATATAGAGTAAAAAAGGTAGGTTAAAGAAAAGTTTAGTTCAGAATTCCCTGTAGATTACACAGATCGATATACATATGAGGAAGGCCGGAGGGCACAACGGCCAAAACGTTATGATAACAAAAACAAAGATGAGAGCAATAATCCGAATATAAATAGTGTAAATAATGATAAGACCTCAACTCAGAAATTCAGACAAGTGTTAATCTATTCGGGTTCAGATAGATGTGCGGTGAAGTGTAATCCAATTCGAACCGGAATGAGAAGATGGAGAGCCGAGTTCGAATTCCAGTTGGGTTCCTTACATTCACTTGCGCGCAAATACCCCTGGGAAAGATATGAACGATTTGTTCTTATCCCAATGTGTCATGTTGTCATAAATCGACAATGACATGATGGCTCAAGCTTGTATCACGTATGACTCTTAACTCACTGGTGACACTTAACTCACTGATTGAATGCCGTGGTAATAGCCGTTTCTTTATAAGGAAACATTCGATATTAATTAACAATGAAGCAAGTGCTATTGTCATTTGAAATTTATAAAATCTTTTTAGTAAAACTTTTTTTCAGGAAAATATGTTTCTCATATCCAGTAACTCTTATCGTTTTTTCTTTTTTTTATGGATTTTGCTTCTTCCTGCGCTTTTCATGAAATGCGACCCGTAAAGATGTTGATTTTCCTTTCGGGTTACATAATAATATACAATTTAGTTGTTGCAGTTGCTGAAACTCAAGTAATTCGCCTTTCATCATTGATCAGAGAAAGCGCATATATAAAACTTTAAAGTTTGTGAACGAGTTTGGATCATTTACGACTGAATAGTGTGTTCGATCCACACAGAGTGCTCCATACGTTCAGCCTTGCACCACATATATGTTTACGCTTAGAAACATCACCATTCATTTATACAATGACTCGGGTACGTCAACGTGGCGTAATTATTACCCAGCTTGTCTCGCTAGATCAATTACGACTGAATGGGGAGTTTGATCCTCACTGGGTGTCCCATAATTTCACCCTTGTGCTACATCCAATCTACACTTAATAAAATTGACCATTCCTTTATACAATGACTCGGGTACCTCAATGTGTAGCAATGGTTAGTAAGCTTGTATTGCTAGAACAATTACGACTGAATAGTGAGTTTCATTCTCAGTGAGGGCCGCATGCAATCGACCTTTTGCCACATCTAAGCTACGCTTAGAAGTTCATCAGAGCACTTCGACGTGGTCTAATGCTTAGCAAGCTTGTCTCGCTAGATCAAATATGATTGAATAGTGAGTTTGATCCTCACTGGGTGCTCATACATTCGGCCTTGTGCCACATCTAAACTACACTTAGAAAATCACTATTATAAACGGATTTGTGGCCATGTACGGCATCTTTATAAAATTCTCGATCTAACGAGGCTATTTAAGAACAGGGCTTGATTCCTTCAAATAATGTTTTGGTTTAATAGTAATCGGTGTTGTTGTGTGAGACTAATCCTAGCGCAGTTCAATGTCCTGATCTGTTTTCATTCCAATTCCAGATCATAGTTTCTGTTTTGGTAACAAAGACAACAGATCAGGACATTGAGAGCTACAAGGGATAGGGGAAAGTGGAGCGCCATGATCGCTTACGCCATGGCATCTATATAATATTCTCAATCTAATGAGGCTATTTAAGAACATGGCTAGAGTTCTTCAGATAATGTTTTGGTTTAGTAACGCAGCCAATTCTATGTTCAATGACCTGATCTGTTTTTATTCCAAATCCAGATCATAGTTTCTGTTTTGGAAAGGTTTATCTTGAATCCTCTTTCTTGGACGACTAAGTAGAGAATGTTGAGTTTTTTGTTCCTATCCCAACATTAAATGCCTTTGTCATTGGCAGAGTCTCTCAGAATCTTCAGTACATTTGCCTCGGGAAAGAAAGCAAGAACACTGTTTTCTATTAGTAGATTATTGCAAGATGTCTTGTAACATTTTCTACCATGACTCTAGACTAAGCGTCCAATATGTAGACGAGCATGGGGGCGGGCGAGGGGATGGAGATGTGATAATGATTTAGAATGTTACTTCATCTGTACTAATCAGCGTAAACAAAGCCGAAAGCATTTGTCACACAAATGCCTAATTAGTTTCTGATTTAATACGAATTTGTCTGCAAAGATATTTTTTCTTCTCCATCTTCATCTCCATAGTTATATACATCATCATCAGCTTCTTCTTCTTCTTCTTCTTCTTCTTCTTCTTCTTTACCACCATTAATCTTCTTGCCTTACCCTCTCCTCCTCCTCCTCCTTCTTCTTCTTCTTCTTCTTCTTCTTTACCACCATTAATCTTCTTGCCTTACCCTCGCCTCCTCCTCCTCCTTCTTCTTCTTCTTCTTCTTCTTCTTCTTCTTCTTCTTTACCGGCATGAATCGTCTTTCCTCTCTTCTTCTTCCCTTCAACATTTCCTCCTCTTCCTTCTTTTTTGCCGGTATTTAACTACTTCTTTCCTTCACACTCTTCTTCTTCTTCTTCTTCTTCTTCTTCTTCTTCTTCTTCTTCTTCTTCCCTTCACCCTTTCCTCCTCTTCCTCCTTCTTCTTTACTGGTATTTATCTTCTTCTTTCCTTCACATTCTTCTTCTTCTTCTTTGTTTATTCCCGTCACACTTTCCTCATTCGTCTTCTTCTCCTCACTCTTTCCTCCTCCTCTTCCTCCTTCCCTTCATCCTTTCCTCCCCATTCTTCATCTTCTTTGCTGGTATTGATCTTCTTTCCTTCACACTCTCCTACTTCTTCTTCTTCACCCCCCTCCTTCATCCTCCTCCATTTTTTTCTTCTTTCTTTCACCCTTTCCTCCGCCTCCGCCTCCGCCTTCTTCTTTCCTGCACATTCTTTTTCTCATTTTTCGTCCTATTTCATCATCATCATCATCATCATCATCATCATCTTCTTCTTCTTCTTCTTCTTCTTCTTCTTCTTCTTCTTCGTCTCCTTCTTCTTCTTTTTTATATACTCCTTTTTTTTCCTTAATCTTCTTCATACACGCTCTTTTCCTTTTTCTCGTTCATACCCGCCTTCATCTTGTTCGTTTTCTTCATGCTAGAACAATCTAAAATGTTTTATGGTTTTAAATATACTGCAAAGGGTTGATAAGCCGTAAACAACGAATAATAAAAGTCTTCATACTCGTCTTCTCATTATTATTATTTTCCTCTTTTTCTTCTTTAGCGTACCCTCCTTCTTTTTCTTTTGTCTGCGTCTTCATACTTCCTTACATTTTCTTCTTTTTCTTACGTCTTTTTCTTTTTCCGCTGATTCGTTGTTCATTTCTTAACATTTCCTCATTCCCTGTTTTCTTCTTTCTATTCGCGACTCATTCATTCATCGTCATTCATTCATTCATTCATCATCATCCAACCATTCATCACCATCATCCAATCATCATCATCATCTTCTGTTTTACTCTCAACTTCCGACCTACTCCTACAGTTTTTTTTCTTTTTATCCCCCTCCTCATTATCAGAGCTTGACAGTTTAATCACGAAGAGATACTACCCCGAGGAGAATGTGTTGCGCCAATTCTTTAAGTGGGAACGGTCTGTCTACCTCCTAGAAAATAAGCATTCGGGCTTCTGCTTTCTTAGCTAACGTTGAACCTCGAACTCAGACCAACAATATGCAACTAACCGAGCCATAAGTTGTCCTCTTTTTTATTTCTTTTCCTGTTATTTTTTTAAATTTCATCATGATCATCAGTATTTCTATATTTTTTTTTAAATTACATCCTCAAATTTTTCTTTTTTCTTCTCTCTGAATGTCTTTCATTAGAATTTATTTTTTATTCTTCCACTTCACAGCATATCAGATTGCTTCATCTCAAAACCCGATTATCAACTCAAGATTCGACATCACCTCCGGGATTCACGATGTCCCCCCCCCACACCTCTTGCTTCGCTAAATCCAAAAACTCCACCCTCCACTTAAAAGATTCTCCCTACCAAACAATTATTAACTCACATGATTTTGCCTCCTGCCTGGCGAAGTTGGGTCTTGCCTTTTTTACACATCATACAACCTAAACGAAATCCTCCTCAGGGTTTTTTTTTTGCAAGAAACTTACTCGTGTTTCTATAAGAAAAAAAAAACAGCATGAAAGTGGTTTAATTAAGCTCTCAATTCCGTTATATTTAGGAAGAGAAAAACACCTCTGGCAAAGTCCATACACCTACCAACAGATACACTATATAAACATTCACGTTCTGTATACGATTATATGTATGTGTTGATAATATACATTATATATGCAGGCATTGCAATATTATATATTTAGAAAAAAACGCACTCATCTATCTATCTATTTATATATATATATATATATATATTTTCTCTTTTTCTCTCTTTTATATCTCTTTATATATATATATATATATATATATATATATATGGAGTTAACAAACACAAGTTAAGTATACATAAAATCTTTAATGAGCTTATTGAAATATGCCATTGGACCCTAAATTTAAATCAAAAACATTTAAATAGGTAACGTTTTAACACTAGATGTAATTAAATGCAAAAAATAAAGATAAAAAAATGTTATATCGAATTCTAAAAGTATAACATTTTGTTCTTAATAATGTCCAATGACATTCGAAAATACAAACACACACAGACATACACACACTCATATAAAATTACGAGCGTACTGATTGCGAAACATTTCGTGATTTCGCGACGCCTCCTGGAATAAGAGATTTGTGCCACTGAAATTTCTTACATCGATTCTTAGGTTCTTTCTCAGGAATACCAGGTGAAAACACAAACTTCTTAGTTCACACCTGCCTTTTCAGCCGCTATAGCCCACAGGGATCACTTTTTTCAATGGGATAATTCCAATCACAACAGACTTTGTACTTGCTCGTAATAACTGTAAACGTGTCCTCAAAGAGGAGAGTAATTACAGTATCTTCTATCCGTGCCGTTTTCTCTCAATTGAGGCGTTAAGATCTGATAAATCAGAATGTTTTGCTTGTAGATTCTCTTCCAATTTTACTCTTGACTCAGGCGTTAAGATCTGATAAATCAGAATTTTTTGCTTGTAAATTCTCTTCCAATGTTACTCTTGACTCAGGCGTTAAGATCTGATAAATCAGAATGTTTTGCTTGTAAATTCTCTTCCAATTTTACTCTTGATTCACGGTGAGTGTTTTTGTCTGAAATGACACTTAGAATTGATTCTCTATTATGTGATATAGGCGTCTAAGACCAATTATGATTTCTGCAATCATCTCTAAACTGGAACCCCAAAAAGCATGTGTACTTGATGGTATCTCTGCAATAGTCATTAAGAAATGTGTTCCCGACCTGGCTAAACTCTGCAATAAATGTCTTGCTGCTTCTTGCTTTCTTGTATGTTGGAAATCTTCGACAATTCCATTCTTTAAGAACTCAGGCGATCCTTCTAATTATCGGCCTATTAGTCTTCTAACTCTTTTTGGCAAGCTTCTAATCAGCTCAGAATTGGTTAAAAAGGTCAGCTCGCTGAGTCTCCTTTCATATAAGCAATATGGCTTTCGCTTCTCTAGGTGAACTGTTTATGTATTAAAAGTTATTGCAAATAGACTCAATATTTAGATAAGAATGGTAATGCTCATGTTGTTCATTGGGATAGCTTGAAGACATTATTCAAGGTTTTACATTACTATTTAGTCCTGCCTTAATAGTAAATCTGATCCACTCGATAAAGTCAAATTGGCAACAGATCTCAAAGATGACCTACGAGGGCCAAACACACATTCCAAAAGCTACGCAGAGTCTTACGAGACAGGAAGGTTTCCTTGGTAACAAAGAAAAGAGTACTGAACTGCCACTGGATACCTGTCCTTCTGTACAGCAGTGAATGTTTGACGGTTTCCTCAAAGATGAACAAGACACTCAAGGCAACAGAGGTACCGTTCTACAGAAGGATACGAAGGATACAATGGACCGAACATGTGCGCAATGATGACATTTTGGAGAGGATGCAAACAAGGAGGAAGCTTATAATTAACACCATGAAGAGGCAGCTAACATTTCTAGGACACGTAACGAGAAATGGGGGCTTGGAGAATCTGATAGTCACAGGGCGAATAGAGGGGAAAAGAGAAAAGAGAAAGCAACGCATGACATACCCAGCGGTTTTAAGCAAGTGGATGACAGAGTCTGAGAGAAGTAGCAAAGGAACAAAACTTACTGAGAGCTACAAGGAGAAGTGGAGAGCCATGATTGCCTGCATCCTGAAGGGACATGACACATAAAAGAAGACGAACAGTTTTAACGCTTCCAAAGAATATTTTTCGTCCTTCAACGTCTGATACTAACCACTAGCAAAGTGGCTCGTTGCGCCTTCCTCGGGATAATGTTTTCCGTTGACATGAAGTGGAAAGATTATATTGAACCAATTTCTAAATCCGCTACTAGCATTGTTTCATTGTGTCGTGTTAGACAATTTTTCTTGCAAGGATCTTACATATTTATAACTCTACAATTCGTTAAAGCATTGAATATTGCTTTCACATCTAGTCTAGGGTTTCTGCTATCTATTTAGAGATTCTTGATAAAAATTCCCCACTTTCTGAACTGGTATCTCACTTCAGAGTCTTTCCCGACGCCGTAACATAGCTTTCCTGTACCTTGTCTATGAATATTTTCATGGTAATTGTTCTGAAGGCCTTTCTTATTTGATACCTCAATTTTACGAGCTGAACTGCAAAACTAATTTGGCAGTTAGTTCTCATCATGTTACAGTTAAAATTGTGAGAGGCAACTATATTTTACAGTTTCTTCTCTCGTACTTTGCGCAGGCGGAAATCTCTTCTGGCTTCTTGATTTCTAATCAAATTTGATCTTCAAAAGTGTATACTGAATGTCAATCATTATCTTCTGTCTTCTTAATTCATATTTTTTTTATTGTTCCCTCACTTGAATAATTTTAATTTTTCTCGTATTCTTTTATTCAATTACGTCTGAGTGGCTTTGATTCGTTTACGTCTTAGTGGCTTTATTGACTTGGTTGAGGTCAAATGTTTAATACATACATACATATGTTGATCCAGATTAATTCTTAACATAAATTACGATTTATTTTTAAGGTAAATTATGGTTTGGTTTTTATTTGTTTTTTTTGTTTTTTTAAAAAAAATTAAAAAAGAACGAGTAATCTCCCTTTAATAAAGCAATTAATATTTGCAACTCTAAAGTATTTTTTAAATTTCAATATATATATATATATATATATATACTCACAAATCCCGTTTATTTTAAATGCCAAATATAAATTTAAAAATTAAAAGATTGTTATCCCAGTATAACATATAATTTCGCCAACATTGCAATAACCATATATATTTTTTTAAATTTAAATTACATAACGGCCAGTTTATACAAAGCAACTGAAGAATGCGTTGTGCATGAAATTCAGAATCGTGTTATCGGTAAAGGATAATATATATATATATATATATGTGTGTGTGTGTGTGTGTGTGTGTGTGTGTGTGTGTGTGTGTGTGTGTGTGTTGAGAATCCCGAAAATATAAACATCTATATAGGGTGCACAAGCCATGAGTTCAAAAAGCGGTTAAATCAACATCAAACTTCATTTAGGAGAAATAAGTACAGAAATCAAACATCTCTCTCAAAGTACTTCTGGCACCTAAAAGAATCCATTAAAACACCTACAGTAAAATGGAAATTAATAAGAAAAACTAGAATATGTAGGTAATTAAATGACCCATGTCCTTTCTGCATACATAAGAAACTATATATTACTAAGTTTATAAAAAATTAAAATTTACTGAATCAGAGAAATGGAATAGCTATTTTTTTGCTGTCATTGTCAAAAATTTTCCTTAAATAATATTTTAAAATAAAATTTTAAAAAATAGGAGCTGGCAATATACATACTTATATTTGATATGAAAAAATAAATTTAAATAATGTAAGTAATTCTATTATATTGCTTTAAAAAAGGAATATAGTCTATTAGTAATTAAGAGTAAAAATATCTTAAAATTGTAAATAAAACGTATTCTAACTCTTTAAACACCTCTAGAGAGAATCTTTAAG